ATTTCAAGGTGGGGTTGGAGGGCATTTACAATTGTGACAATTATTTATTTATTTGTTTGTTTGTTTGTTTGTTTGTTTATTATTCGAACTTATATGCCGCCACTTGGAGCGGCTTACAAGAATGGCTAAAATCTAACACAATTTAAAAACAATTTTAAACAATTTAAAAACAGCAATATCAAAAATCAAAGGCCTGTCAAACAGATATGTCTTACATGCCCTGCAGAAAGCTGATAAGTCCCGCAAGGCACAGACTTCAGGTGGCAGAGTATTCCAGAGTGATGGTGCCACTGCTGTGAAGGCTCTGCGTCTGGTTGCTGTTAGACGCAAGGTCTTGACACTGGGAATTTCCAATAGATCTTGGTCCTCAGAACGAAGGGATCTCTGGGGTTGGTAGGGGGTGAGGCGGTCCCTCAGGTACATCGGCCCCAGACCATGCAAGGCCTTAAAGGTGAGTACCATCACTTTGAAAGTGATCCGGTGCTCAATTGGTAACCAATGCAGCTGTAGTAAGATTGGTGTTATGTGGCATCTCATCGGAATTCCCGCAAGAAGCCGAGCAGCTATGTCTCATAGGATGCTAGTCCGTTGCTATATACAGTGTAATGAAATTATTTTCTATTGGACTGAATATTGGGTGCCAAGCAGAGAGAGGAGTTAAAGGGGGGCAGGGGGTGGGGAGGTTTTATGATTGTTCCAAATGGCAAACAGCGATGCTGCCTCTAGTAGAGATTTTACCCCATTTCCTCAAAAAGCTGCTTTGGAATCTTTTCTAACTATACAATGGTAGCCCTATGATTCCATTTCTACTGCTATGGCTGCATCCTACAGAAGTAAAGGATTTGCAAGATTATATATGCCCCTCTCCACAACAAATTACAGGATTCCATGGAATGATACCATGTCAGTTAAAGTTGAATCATAACACTACAATATCACACGAAAGACCTCTGATTATACACATTTCTGACCCAAATCTCTTGGAGTCCACAGATGGGAATGACTTGGGGCATTCTTGTGTTTCCATCCAGGAGTTTATTCTTGAATCAGCACAGCCCTATAATTCTTACTGGATTGGTTTATTCCGCCGCAGAGTTGAAGGACCTTGGTTATGGGAGGACAACAGTACCTTTATCACTGACTTGTAAGTGTGCTTAAAAAAGGCAATTCAGAAGGATGAGATGAGATTTTAATAATGCTGATCTGCCATTTTATTATAGTTTTGATGCTTCTAGGATCTATATCCGGCATGGGCAACTTGTGGCACACCAGATTTTCCTATCATCCCAGGTCAGCCTAGCCCATGGTGAAAAAATATATGTTTATCTCAAGTCCACACATTCTCCAAAAACATCTAAAGCCCATACCCTCTCCAAGGTTTATTTGCATGTAGTTATTTGGGATTTCTTCCTTCCCTTATTTTAAATATTAGAAGACATCCCCCTCAGAAATCATTGTTTTGCTGAAATCTTATATGGCTTGTTATATTATGTAATATTATGTATCCCTATCTACATAGCAGAGGCACTACAATATCCTTTCACTGAATTGTGAAGATGCGTAATGGGGTTGTATCTTATGTGCATTGGTGCTCAATACAGGGCTGATGTGATGTGCATTTGAGCATCAACACATATCAATTTATTTATTTATTTATTTACTGTCCTTGTATACCGCCGTTTCTCAGCCTAACTGGCGACTCAACGCGGTTTACAACAAAATATACAGTGCACAGTATACAATTAAAACCATGAAAAACATGATACACAATATTACACGAAATCACAATCAATACATCTCCTAACTAAAATCGTGGTCCAATTGCATCATCCGTATTACCAATCCGTAATCAACACATTCATTGCACCGAGTTAACCAAATGCCTGCTTGAACATCCAAGTTTTTAGTCTTCTTCGGAATACCATCAGCGAGGAGGCTGATCTTACCTCCATGGGAAGGGTGTTCCAGAGCCGAGGGGCCACCACAGAAAAGGCCCTGTCTCTCGTCCCCGCCAGCCGCACCTGTGAAGCAGGCGGGATAGAGAGCAAGGCCTCCCCAGAAGATCTTAGGGTCCTGGTGGGCTGATAGGCCGAGATACGTTCGGATAGGTAGGTTGGGCCAGAACCGTTTAGGGCTTTAAAGGAGATCTATCATTGTTTGAGTCCACAGTGCTCTCTGGATGTAGGTGAACTACAACTCCAAAACTCAAGGTCAATGCCAACCAAACCCTTCCAGTATTTTCTGTTGGTCATGGGAGTTCTGTGTGCCAAGTTTGGTTCAATTCCATCATTGGTGGAGTTCAGAATGCTCTTTGATTGTAGGTGAATTATAAATCCCAGCAACTACAACTCCCAAATAACAAAATCAATCCCTCCTCCCAACCTCCAACCCCACCAGTATTCAAATTTGGTCATATGGAGTATTTGTGCCAAATTTGGTCCAGTGAATGAAAATACATCCTGCATATCAAATATTTACATTACGATTCGTAACAGTAGCAAAATTACAGTTACGAAATACCAATGAAACTAATGTTATGGTTGGGGGTCACCAACACATGAAGAACGGTATTAAGGGGTCACGGCATTAGGAAGGTTGAGAAACATTGTCATATAGGATTACAATACACAATACAGCCAAGGCAATTCGCAGCTTCCCTTGACAACAATGCTTGATCACTGCAAAGGAGATAGAAGTGGAATTTGGAGCCATTATTATTATTATTATTATTATTATTATTATTATTATTATTATTATTATTTTCTTGGCCTTATATTAGGAATCACATCCCACAAACATCCTGATCTTTTCCCTTGCTCCACTATTTTAGAATTACTGCAATATGATCCAATGAATCAATGCTATGGAATCTTGGTAGCTGTAGTTTGCTCTCTTGGGGAGAGAAGGCTGATGGCCTTGAAAAGCTACAAATCCCATAGCATTGGGCCATAGCAGATCAAACTGCATTCATTCAACACTTTAGATGCATTCTAGTCTGGAGAAGAGGCTCCAGGCTTAAACTTTGGCTAATAATAATAATAATAATAATAATAATAATAATAATAATAATAATGGTGATGATAAGGATGATTTCTTCTAATAATGAAGCTGTAGAAGTAGTATTTTGACCCTGCTGAACTACAACTCTCAGGATTCCACACAGCATTGAGCCATGGCAGTTCAAATGGGGCCAAAAATGCATTAATTCTACAGCATAGATGCATCGCCAATAATAATAACAATAATAACAATAATAATAATAATAATGGTGATGATGATGATGATTTCTTATAATAATGATGCTGTAGAAGAAGTATTTCGACCTTGCTGAACTACAACTCCCAGGAGTCCAGAACATTGAGCCATAGCAGTTCAAATGGGGCCAAAAATGCATTAATTCTACAGTATAGAAGATGCACCACCAATAATAATAATAATAATAATAATAATAATAATAATAATAATGGTGAGGATGAAGATGATTTCTTTGAATAACGAAGCTGTAGAAGAAGTTTTTTGACCTTGCTGAACTACAACTCCCAGGAGTCCATAACATTGAGCCATGGCAGTTCAAGTGGGGCCAAAAATGCATTAATACTACAGTATAGATGCACCACCAATAATAATAATAATAATAATAATAATAATAATAATAATAATAATGGTGAGGATGATTTCTCCGAATAACGAAGGTGTAGAAGAAGTATTTCAACCTTGCTGAACTACAACTCCCAGGAGTCCATAACATTGAGCCATAGCAGTTCAAGTGGGGCCAAAAATGCATTAATTCTACAGTGTAGATGCACCGTCAATTGTATTTTGACATGGTATTGCTTGCATTCAGACACTGTACTATTATTAGTATTGGTATTAGTATTTAGAGCTGACTTCTTCTCTCCCAAACAATACTCAAGGTGGCTAACACTAGAAACCATATAATATGTTGATGAAAAAATCCCAAGCATCCAAACATTAAGATAGAATTCGGCACAGGAGAAGTGAAGAGCAATAATCCAAATTCATCCATTCTCTTTCCCTTATGCACTAAACAAATTCTGAGCAGAAAAATAGGGAAACAAACAAAAAACCAACCTTAATTCCCATTCTCCTCTTCCCCGAACCCATCATCCCTCCTTTGCTTTCAAAGCATCCAACTAACTTTTTCTTGCCTGCAGGACTTAATTACCTTTTTCTCATTCTCTTCTGGATCGCCCGGCTGCTATTATAGAAGGGTTTCGTGATCTCCTTCCTCTCCGACACACAGCATTGGTGCCTCTTTTACTCACCGATAGACATAAAGGGGATTTCTCATCAGCTGATGCAGCTCCATTCTGGTAGGCAAACCTATGAGAGCAGAGCCCCCCCCCCCCCCACACACACACTTTTAGCTGTGCCTTTTTTGATAATCTTTGCAAAACAGAAATAACTCAGATACAAGCCAGGTTGTTTATTGGATGCCTCGGATTAAAGGAAGGATCTGAGGGCTTGACCGATGCATTATGGCTTCAAGGGCTTGACCAATGCATTATGGAGATGTTTCGACAGCTTGAGCCACGTGCCATTGATGGGAAGGAATGCCGACCCCAAGGATAATTAATTGGAATGTTTGATTGATTAATTATCCTTATTTTCTCCAAAGCAGGATCCAGAGCAATTTCTAATATGGATAATAATAATAATAATAATAATAATAATAATAAGAAGAAGAAGAAGAAGAAGAAGAAGAAGAATAGAGCAACAACTGGAAATGCTGACACAATACGAGGATTTAAAGATCGAACTGCAAAGACTCTGGCATAAGCCAGTCAAGGTGGTCCCAGTGATGATTGGCACACTGGGTGCAGTACCTAAAGACCTTGGCCTGCACTTAAACACAATCAGTGCTGACAAGATTACCATCTGCCAGATGCAAAAGGCCGCCTTATTGAGATCTGCATGCACTATTGACCCATACATCACACAGTCCTAGACACTTTGGAAGTGTCCGACGTGTGATCCAATACAACAGCCAGCAGAGTGATCTTGTCTGCTGTGGACTCTTCTTGTTGAGATTAATAATAATAATAATAATAATAATAATAATAATAATAATAATAATACAGGAAATAGCCGTTATCAAGACCTCAAAATTGAACTGCAAAGGCTCTGGCATAAACCAGTACAGGTAGTCCTAGTGATAATGGGCACACTGGGTGCCGTGCCAAAAGACCTCAGCCGGCATTTGGAAACAATAAACATTGACAAAATCACGACAAAGCTGCAAAAGGCCACCCTACTGGGATCTGCACACATTATTTGCCGATATATCACACAGTCCTAGACACTTGGGAAGTGTCCAATGTGTGATCCAATACAACAGCCAGCAGAGTGATCTTGTTTGCTGGGTACTCATTTTTGTTGTGTTGAGATTGTTAGCTGCCTTAGGTCCCTATGGAGAGAAAGATGGGATAGAAATAATAATAATAATAATAATAATAATAATAATAATAATAATAATAATTTGCTATTTATTATTTATTTGCTTGAGGCAGGGTACAACACTTATAATACAGAGGTAAAACATAAGACCATTACAATACACATGCACACACACACATAAATATGTTTATATTTATTCTCTTAAAGCAAATAATATATTTGCTTAAATAACTTATAATACATAGATAGAATATAAGGCCATGAATATGTATGTGTGTGTGTGTATGTATGTGTGTGTGTGTATAAATATACATATACATACACACACACACATATATATATATAATATGTGTATATGAATATATGTATTTTATAAAATACTTCCAGTGTATTTTACATTGGTTTTACTTACTCGTTTTTAGACAGTTAAACATTCTATTTCTCTCTTTATTATAGCCTTTAGTTTTTAAATGGCATATTGTATTGTTTTTGCCACAGTTCACCACACTGAGTCTCTTTCAGAGAAAAAGAAGTAAATAATAACAATAATACACACCAAGATTAAATCTGTGAGCTAAAACGATTTTAAACATGCAAAAGGGTGGAAACCGCAGCCCTATTCAAAACAGCACTGGATTTGAAATATAACAAAGAGAGAGGGCTAAAAGCGTTGCTAGGCAAAATACACCTGCATAGCAACCAGTTAATGTCTGGACATCTATCTAATTAAAAGAAGATATTCATCACTGGATCAGTTTTGGAAGCAACCACCAAAATGGCCTTCTCCGGAGATTTCTTATGGGATTTTATTTATCATGTCAGGAGCAAGCCAAACAGTTGTATTGCATTTTTTAACAAACAAACAAACAAAACACAAAGTTTGCAAGCTTGGTAGTTGATTAAATGTCCTTTGACCAGTAGCTGGCCACTTGGAGTGCCTCTGGTGTTACTATAAGAAGGTCCTCCATTGTGCATGTGGCAGGGCTCAGGTTGCATTGCAGCAGGTGGTCAGTAGTTTGCTCTTCTCCACACTCGCATGTTGTGGATTCCACTTTGTACTCGCATGTCGAGTTGGCTCTGCATCTCGTGGTGCCAGAGCGCAGTCTGTTCAGCGCCTTCCAAGTCGCCCAGTCTTCTGTGTGCCCAGGGGGGAGTCTCTCATTTGGTATCAGCCATTGATTGAGGTTCTGGGTTTGAGCCTGCCACTTTTGGACTCTCGCTTGCTGAGGTGTTCCAGCGAGTGTCTCTGTAGATCTTAGAAAACTATTTCTTGATTTAAGTCATTGACGTGCTGGCTGATACCCAAACAGGGGATGAGCTGGAGATGTCTCTGCCTTGGTCCTTTCACTATTGGCTGCTACTTCCCGGCGGATGTCAGGTGGTGCAAATCTAATTTAAAAAGATATTCATCACTGGATCAATTTTGGGAGCAATCACCAAAATGGCCATCTCTGGAGATTTCTTATGGGATGCATCTACACTGCAGAATGAATGCAGCTCAACTGCTATGGAGTCCTGGGAGTTGAAGTTCGGTGTGGCACCAGCAGAGAAGGATAAAGACCTTGGGATACTACAACTCCCAGGATTGCATAGCATTGAGCCAGGGCAGTTAAAGTGATGCCAAACTGCATTAATTCTCCAGTGCAGAACGCACCATGTTAGCTGCCTTGAGCTTTTATAGGGAGAGAAGAAGTGAGATATAAATACCAATAACAATACTACTACTACTAATAATGATGATGGAGATGCTTTACCAAGGGTGTATCTACATTGTTGAATGAATGCAGTTCGGCATTACTTTATCTGCCATGGCTCAATGCTATGCGATCCTGGGAGTTGTAGTTTTGCAAGGTCCAAGGGTACAAACTGTAACTCCTAGGATTCCATAGCATTGAGCCAGGGCAGTTAAGGTGATGCCAAACTGCATTAATTCTACATATCAATTGGTATATATTGCAATGATAATACTTTTCAAACTTTCTGCTATCATTTCATGTTTAAACGGGAATGCCGGTTCAAAATCCCTTGACATTTGGCCTTCTTCTTCTTCTTCTCTAGGATTATCATAAAGGGCTTATTAAAATGCTCATTTTGGAGAGAAGGGGCCCAGTTGGAGCTCACGCCTAGCAAGCCAGCTTTGATTTGTGCCAGAGTTTCATTCTGTTTGATGATTTGGCTCCTTGAAGTTGGAAGCAAACCATTTATTCAGCTTACTTTGTATTATTTGTTGGGTCTGAGCTCCCTCTTGCGTTTGCAAACACAAAAGCCACCCTGTACGGTTGAGCATCCTTTATCCGAAATGGACCACATTTCTGATTTTATCTGGATTTTGCCATCCTTGCATAGATATCATTAGATATCTTGGAAAGCCAACTCCCTAATGAACTTTCCAAACCTTCATGGGTGCATCCACACTGCAGAATTAATGCAGTTTGACGCCGCTTTAACTGTCATGGATCATTGCTATTGAATTAAGTTTCTGTGTTTCTATTGCATTTTCATTCTTAAGAAATCAAATTAAGAAATCAAATGTATTATTAATATTGGTAATAATACTGTTTGTTTTTGTTGTATTTAAATCTATATAAATAAAAATGTAGTGTTCGTTTGTGGGATTAAGAGAACTGAAAAACCACTGGACGAATTGACACCAAATTTGGACACAAGACATCTAGCAACCCAATGTATGTCCTTCACTAAAAAAATTGATTTTGTCATTTGGGAGTTGTAATTGCTGGGATTTATAGTTCAACTGCAATCAAAAAGCATTCTGAACTCCACCAATGATGGAATTGAACCAAACTTGGCACACAGTTCTCCCATGAGCAACAGAAACTACTGGAAGGGTTTGGTGGGCATTGACCTTGAGTGTTGGAGTTGTAGTTCAACTATATCCAGAGAGCACTGTGGACTTAAACAATGACCAAACTTGGCACAAATACTCAATATTTAGCAATTCAGCTGAAAAGGATGCGGAGCTGCAATCATTCGCCAAGCTAAGCATGCGGTTACACAAATAAATGCCACTTTTATAGAAATACAGAGTTGTGTAGTTCAAATCTCCCACTCCCCGCCCTCCGCTTGGCTGATGCCACAACAGCTGGGAGGAGGCTCGGCTGCCCTCTGAGCGCGTAGGACAATCACAGGGCTGCTGCGGTGCGTCTGGGCCAATCAGAAGGGCTGAGAAATAAATAAATAATTTGGGACTGTCCAGAACATTGTCTGGACAGCCCTTCCTTTATTGCAGGAGTTCCTGCAATAAAGGTCCTGTCTGGATGGGCTCTCTGAGAAAGATTGCTGAAGGCCTCTCCCAGGAATGTGACCTTGTGAATCTTCATGGGACATCTTGGGCCTCTCGTCTGGGCTTAACTCAAGCCCAGGCAAACCCTCATCCCCATTGCTGACAGACCCAGGCCCAGACAGCCCTTCATTTCCATTTCTGTCATGACCATCAGACACAATCACAGGCTGAACTACAACACCATACCCATTTTGTCACTTGCTATCTTGACATTATGTCCTCTCCATAAACTGAAATGATTTCACCATGAATCTCAGTGGCGTTCATGCCTTTAGCATTTAGGTAGCGTATTACAGTGCGAACTTCGCACTTGGAGGGAAACAGAATGAGGATGCACATCTCTAACCTTCATCACAACGCCAGTCGATGAGCTGCTGACGACTGGCACTGCTCATTTGCTACATGGAAGTTATGCCAATTTCCTGAGAAAATTCCCCGCGAGAGCTACGTGCCTTGTAATCTTATTTTCCGGATAAACCTTGTATGTAAAAATGTATTGCATTTTAATTCTCACGAAATAAAAGCTATCACTACTTTTTATGTTTGCATTGCATTTTACTTCTTAAGAAATAAATGTATTATTATTCATAGTTTGTGTTTTATTGAATTGCAATGGTTAAGAAATAAAAAG